ATACCAAGCTATTTCTAGGAATTCTAGATGCAGCCCACCTTGTATAGTGTAAATTAAATTCCACCCAATGCTGTTTCCAGAACTAATTTTTAAGAAATTCCTTCCCTAAACCCAAACAATATCATATACTATTATTCCAAATGGTCTCTAGTAGGATACAGACAGCACAATCCCAATTCTGGTGTACATGAAGACAGCCAAAGAAACACCGGTGTCAGTGTACCAGTTCCCAGAATTGGGCTAAGTCCTACAACTGTTCCCACTGCTACTGAGCACTATTAACCAGATGGCCAGTTAATATCTTAATCACTTATTTGCATTTTTCATTATACTCAGAATTTTAGGCACAGGTAAAAACAAAGAGACAGATTTTCTTTATTATTATTATTTATTCTTCTTATTTTACATATCAATCCCAGTTTCCTCTCCCTTCCTCCCTTTCTCCCTCCCTCCCATCCCATTCCCCCTCCCACTCCACAGGGAGGGTGATGACTTCCAGGAGGGGTCAACAAAATCTGTAATTTAGGGTAGGGACTAGGCCCCTCCCTACTGCCTCTAGGTTAAGGGAGTATCCCTCCATGGGGAATGTGCTCTCAAAGTCCTTTTGTGCACCAGGGATACATCCTGGTTCCACTATCAGAGGTCCCTTAGACTGCCTAGGCCTTCTGAGACCCACATTTAGGGGGTCTATGTTGGTTCAATGCTGGTTTCCCAGCTATCAGTCTGGGGGGGGGGGTCCATTAGGTCCTCCTTGTTCAGGTCAGCTGTCTGTGGGATTCTGTATCCTGGTCTTGTCCTCCCTCTCTGCATCTGGATTCAGTGTTTAGGTGTGGGCGACTGCTTCTGTTTCCATCAGCTACTAGATGAGGGCTCTATGATGGTGGATAAGTTAGTCATCAATCTCATCGGGGAAGGGCATCTATGATAGCCTTTCCACTGTTGCTCAGTCCACTGTTAGTTGGGGTCAGTTTTGTAGGTCTCTGGACATTTCTCTAGAGTCCGTTTTCTCTTCAAACCTATAATGGTATCTCTTTTTCCCCCCTCTGGTCTATCCCTCCCCTGACTCAATCTTCCTAGTCCCACATGCTTTCCTCTCTTCCCCTTCTCTTTCTCCTAGCTCCCTCTCCACTCACTGACCCCCCTCCCAATATGTTCAGGAAATCTTGTTCCTTTCCCCTTCTATGAGGGACCTTGTATGAATCTCTTAGATTCCTTCTTGTATCCTAGTTTCTCTGGCAATGTGAATTATAGGCTCTATGTCTAAAATCCATATATGAGTGAGTACATACCATGTTCCTCTTTTTGTGACTGGGTTACCTCATTCAGGATGGTTTCTTCAAGTTCCATCCATTTGCCTGTGAATTTCAAGATTCCATTGCCTCCCCCCCCCCCCCGCATAGAAGTATTCCATTGTGTAAATGTGCCACATCTTCATATCCATTTTTCAGTTGAGGGGCATCTAGGTTGTTTCCAGGTTCTTGCTATTACAAATAATGCTGCTATGAACATAGTTGAACACATGTCTTTGTTGCATGGATGTGGATCATTTGGGTAAGTGCCTAAGAGGGGGATTGCCAGGTCCTGTGGTAGACTGATTCCCATTTTCCTGAGGAACTGCCATACTGATCTCCAAAATGGCTGTATGAGTTTGCACTCCCACCAGCAGTGGAAGAGTGTTCACCTTTCTCCACTTCCTCTCTAGAATAAGTTGTCATTGGTGTTTCTAATTTTAGCCATTCTGGCATGAGTAAGATGGTATCTCAGAGTTGTTTTGATTTGCATTTCCCTGATAGCTAAGGATGTTGAGCACTTTCTTAAGTGTATTTCAGCCTTTTTGATTTCCTCTATTGAGAATTCTCTCTTCAGTTCTGTACCCCATTTTAAATAGGGTTATTTGGTGTTTTGGTGACTAGTTTCTTGAGTTCTTTGTATATAAAAAGCCAGATTTTCAAAGGATAATTAGCTGAGGAAACTTAATCTATCAGAGAGAAAGTATGTGATCAACTGCTGGTCTCAAGAGTGTTAGCAAAATTTTTCTTTTTTGCTGGGCAGTGCACATAAGTTATTTTTAATTAATTTATGTATTTATTCTTATGCATGTAACTGTTTTGTTTGCATGTGTGCATGAGTACTACACACATGACTGGTGTCCATAGACATCAGAAGAGGGTGTCAGCCCCCATGGAACTTGGGTTACGGATGGTTGTAAGCCACAATGTGGGCATTAGTAAACTAAACCTGGGTCCTCTGCAAGAATAGCAAATGTTCTTAACCCCTGAGCCATCTTCTAGTCCCAAAATATACATTAAAAAGGAGGAGGAGGAAGAGAAAGAGGAAGAGGAGGAACCACCAATATGCATGTGTTTTAGAATACTGAGAAGTTATCAAAACAAAAGGAGAATGGTTTTCTAGATAATACAGTATTTTCTCTAACATGCCAAATACAAATGGACTAGACATTGTGAATGTAATTCTTACCTGGTAATTGATCTTATTATATACAGTTTTACTGTGTTACAGTTAAAATGTTCCCTTTTTATTTAGACAAAAATGGAGAAATGTTGTCGCATAATCTTTCTATACACTGTGAACATGTGTCATCCTGATTGTTTTAACAAAAAGCTGAGGGGAAAGACAGTCCCACCCACTTGATGCAGGTTCACTCAGATAGGGACCAGCCTGCTCTGGCCTTCCCAGCAGGCAAAAAGAAAATTACCCTGGGTCCTTAGGTTCAGGCTGGCAGGAAAACAGCCAGGGACCCCCTCATTTTAAGGAAATTTGGGGCAGAGAAATGGGAGAATTTAGGAAGCAGAATGGTTTACACACCATGGAAAGACACACAAAAAAGAAATATAGATGTAGAGGATTAGGCAGATGTTGGGAGGTCAGCTTGCCACCTGAGACCATGGTGAGGATGGTGAGGAACAGACTGAGGAGGAAAGTCTGCTTGCCACCCAGAACCATGGCACTGTCCAGATCAGACTGCTACCAAGGGCCATGTGTTGGTCTCTGGTCCTATAGTAGCCTGGGTCAGTGTTGATATCCATGGTTCCTGTTGTGTTCAAATGCCATGCTGACTCCAGTGGGCTGGGCCACCTACTGGGGTTGAGTTCAGGTCCACAAATCATGCTGCCACTGGGGCCATACTGATCTGGGTGGCCTTTGTCATCACCTGGGGCCATGGCGATAGCCAGACCTAGGCTGCTACCAAGGACCATGTCTGTGGCTGTGGCCCTAACGAGGCTGAGGTCTATGTTGATGCCCATATCCCCACAGAGCCACCAAGGGCCACATGAAGTCATCTGTGGCCTTGTTGGTGTTCAGGGGCCATCCTGCCAACAGAGCCATCCTGATCTGAGTGCCTGGAGCTACCACTTGGAGAAAGGATGTCGACCAGACTGAGTTGCTACCTGAGGCCATGCCTGGGCCTGTGGCCCAGCTACGGCTGGGATCTGCATTGAACTCTGGTACAGGTTGCCCCTAGGGCCCATACAGAGGCCCAGAATCTGGGCCAGAGACTGCAGCTTGGGTGAAGTCGGGGCCATATCACAGCAGACATGGGTGGCCCGTGCTACCACCTGGGGCCAGGGTGTCATCTGGGCCCAGATTGCCACTGAGGACCATGTCTGGTTGCATGGCCCTGTAGCAGCCAGGGTCTAGATTGACATACATGACTCAGGTTGTCCCCGAATGCCATCAAGAAGCCCACGATCAGACCACCTGCTTGAGTCCAGGTTAGTATCTGAGGACCAGGATGCATCCGTATCCAAGTGGCCTGAGCTGCTACTCAATGACATGGCAATATCTGGGCCCCAGCTGCAGCTGAGGGTTGTGTCAGGGTCTGTGGCCCCACAGCAGCTAGGGTCCATGCTGATGTCCGATGCTCCTGTTACCATCAAAGGTCATGTAGAAACCCAAGATCAAGAGCCAAGTTAGTGTCTCAGAGCCATACCACAGCTGGGAGCAATGGTGATATCCAGACCCAGCTGTTGCTGAGGACCATGTTGGGGTCCATGGTCCTACCATGGCTGGGGTCTGAACTGAAGTCTGGGTTCTGCATTGTCACCAAAGTTCACATAAAGGCTGAGGGTTGGGGCCACAATCTTAGGTCTTAGTGTTGTTTGGTGGCCACACTGCTGCCAAAACCATCCCACCTGAGTGGCCATTCCTTCCATTCAGAGACAGGATATTGCCCAGGCCTAAGCTGCTGCCAAGAGCCATATCTGGGTCCATGGTCTAGCTGCTGCTGGGGTTTGTCTGTGGCTAGTGTCATAGAAGTCATGTGAGGTGAATCATCAGAAGGCTATACTGAACTGGTCCCACCCTTCACTGCCCTGGAAATGCTGGCCTTGCCTCTTGCTGGCTACTACAGCAGGCCTCTGCACTCCCCACCCCTCACCTCAGGCCAGGATGAACCTACACTAAGGGCATGTGTGTGGGGGAGCTGACGATGCCCCTGTACCCAAGGCAGGTGGCCCCAGTGGCTTGATCTGACCTGCCTGGCTAACACTCAAGCCTGAAATTGGATCTTGGGTTGATCCAACCTAGCAGCTACCCCAGGTAGGTCCTCCTGGATCTTGTGAAGAGACTGGTCCTGTGGAAGACTCAGGATGGGCACAGGATACTCCAGAAGAGCTCTGATGAGGATCCAGTGAGGATGGTGTACCAAAAACCAGAGGCTTTAAACCAGACCCATGACTCAATTGCAATGAACAGTTGCCAATCAAGCTGGTGGGACAAAGGGTCACTACATGACTCCAGTGCCATCAGGACGTCTGAAGAGATGACGGAGAGTTAGGAGAAAAGGAGACGCAGGGAGTTTTCTTTTCCTAGTGTGGTTTTTGTTGTTTTTGTTTATTGGGGTTTTGTTGTTGTTGTTTTTGTTTGCTTGCTTGCTTGGTTTTTTTTTTTTTTCTTTCATAGGGGGACTCAACAGGGATGGGGGGATATGGAGGGACTGGGAGGAAAACAGAACTGGCGTACACAATGTGAGACCCCCGAAGATTCAATAAAGAAGTTTAAATATATTTGGGGAAAAACTGTTTCTTTGCTGAAAAAGTACAGATAGTCTTCTTGTGATTGCCTAAGTCAATCAATACAGTATGAGCCTTGTTGTCATTGTATTAGGTATTATAGGCAATGTAGAAATAATTAAATATATACAGAATGATGTGCATAGGTTCCATACACATATAAAGACATTTCATAAAGGAAAAAAAATTTAACAAATTGAACAACAGGATTTCCAGGCACAGAGGACTCTGGGAAGAAGAAGGGAGGAGAAACCAGGACACATACCAAGCAGTATGGGCATTACAAAGTAAAGGTAACTGAGCCACATAAAAGAATGTAGATTAGAAAAAATGGGTTAATTCAAGTAATAAGAGCTAGTCAGAAATAAGCCTAAGCTATTGCCAAGCTTTCACAATTAGTTCATCTCCGTGTCATGGTCTGAGAGCTAGCTGGTGGGAGAGAGAAAGACTTGCAACAGCAAACCTTTTATTGAACTATTTACTATGCAAGATGTTTCTCCTTCTAGAAGATCAAAACATGGCATTCAAAAACCTGGGGTCTAACTCTTCAAGAGGAAGGAAGCTAGGTTACTTTTAGCATGCTTGGGGATGCTTCTAGATGCAGTCAACTGATCTCAGCTCCTGCTGCCATTGTGTAGAGCATCCATGATGGTTTTATTGTATTCTGCAATCTGCTTCATCACATTTTTAATAACCGGCTGGTAATCACTCTCTTGACTCTTGGTTGCTATGACTAATTACATAGTTAAGGAGGAACAATTGTCAGTAGAAACAGTAGTCTGTGACTCAGAAAGGAACTGAAGCAGACTGGGTATTTGTCACAGTGAATGTAGACAGTACAGAAAAAGTACAACTACAATAATTTTAAGATAGAATCTTATTTTAACAAAACAGAATTTGAAACAAAAAGGCCAAATAAAACTTATTTTTAAAAACCTCACTTGCAGTATAAACACTTTTGATTTTTTTTTTTAAATGTCAGGTTGCCCAATCTAGTTCTACTCTCAGAACAATTGAGCATTTGGAAAAACTCTATTCTCTGATTTTCACAGAGAATTTTAGGCAAGTCTCTTAGACTTCACTGTTTCAAAGTCATGTGGATTTATGTTGCATAAAGCTGGAATGCTGGACTTTTAAAAATCCCATGAAGATCAAAGTCTGCCTTTTAAGCCAAGTTGCTTACAATAGTGTGATTAGAGTTTCTATGGCATCCTAACTGTATGTAAGCTGAGGTGTTTGCTGCCCCTGAAGTGAAGTTTGGTTAACACCCTAAAAGAAAACCTATGGGATCACAGAGTTAGGATTTTGTTCTGAAAACAGATATCCTGGAATAAGTCAAAGGGAACAGGAAATAAATACTAGAGAGACATTTGTTATGACTTCACAATGTATGCATGCCCTCAGCAAATGCTGCCTCTTAGATAGAACAACATGAAAGATAAGATACAAGTATCATCTGGTAGAAATAAGATGCCATTAAATTGAGAATAAATAACACGAATAAACTCAAATTTCTTATGATTCTGACTGGTCACCCTTTGCTGTCCAGACAGTCAAGTTTTAGCATTATAAATAACTAACATCTCTATAACTATATCTAAACTCTATGAGTACAAACTGTTTTAGAGATGATAAAAATTAAGGCTTAAACCAATCAAGAGACCTGTCTGAAGACTGTAGCTTACCAGTGACAGAATCAACATTCAAAAATTGGTTTTTGGATATTTTGTTTTGTTTTGTTTGGTTTGGTTTTTCAAGACAGGTTTTTTCCATATTGCTTTGGAACCTGTCCTGGAACTCTCTCTGTAGACCAGGCTGGCCTCAAACTCACAGAGATCCGCCTACTTCTGCCTCCCGAGTACTGGGATTAAAAGCATGTGGCACAAATGTCTAGCCAGCATTCACAATTTGATCATCTGACTCTATAATGTATGCCCTTAACCACAATCCTATATGATGATGTCATTCTCCTCGTTGGGTTAATTCCCAAAATCAGGTTGTTTTTTTTTTGTTTGTTTGTTTGTTTGTTTGTTTGTTTTTTTAATTTTTTTTCCCATAGATACTGAGTAAATTCCTTGTAACTACCGTAGAGCAGAAAGTGATATGAGTCTTTATGGCCCCTGTGTAATTAGTTCAAAGTTTTATACACATCAAGTATTTGGAAGGACATATTAAGCCTGTTTAAAGGATACACTCTTTCATCACAAAATTATTTTGCTCGAGGTGCTGCCACTTCCTCTCCAAATTTGTAAGCTAGAAACACAAAAGGTGAATGTTAACTGATTCTCATATTCAAAATCATTACACATCCCTTCAAGAGGGTATGCAAAATAATACTCAATTTTAAATCATACCAATTTGTTGCATTCTAGTAAATAAAGTGAGAGTTGCCAGAGAAGAAACTCAGGTTATATTAGATCATACAATGGCTATACTTAGGGAAATGCTAAATTATATAAAAAGTTTTAGTTTGTTTATTTTAATTAAAAATAGTAAAAATGTTTACTATGTCAAACACTTCAAGTGAATTTATGACTTTCTGTAAAATAACTTAAAGGAAAATGTGACACGACGGGAATCTCTCCTTGAATTCTGGAAGTCTAATGCCACAAAGGTAATATATATTCTAAAACTGTCAAGGGTTCAGCCTTATAGGAAAAACTTCCTTATTTCCAGAGTTAAGTTTCCTGTCTCGTTTCATGGGCTATGATAAGAGCGGAGCTGCAGTGTGAAGATTGTAAGAGAGTCTGTGAAAAGCTGGCACCGCTACAATAATTTCTGCATCAACAGGAAACGAATGTGGATATTATATTGATGGTTGCTTCCTCAGAAGACAATTTCACTGTTATAGAATTAAATTGTTTTTCTGATTTAATTAACCTTGTAACTCTGGGTTACGGTTTTTCTTTTTTAGGATACACATAGTTTCCCCTAAGCAAACGACTGTCTGAAAAAATGAAACACTAAAATAATAACCCCCTGGACATTTCAGAGATATAATGGACATTTAAAAAAACACACTAATTGAAGAAGCAAGAAAAATGTTTCTTCTAATTCTCATGTAAGAATTATTTTCAGGGTGCACATATCTATCCAATTGTTTCCTCCAGAGAGATAAATTTGAATATCAGGATGAAATCACAGTTAACAGTATATAATGCATGGTCCTTGAACTAGGACTTGTTAAATCAAATGTATCTGTCAAAAATGAGACCTGGAAGTTAGGATGTCCCTTAGGGAAGCAGTCAGCACATTTTGGCAGTAAATCTTTAATAACCTTTTGCAAAGTCAAGTACCAGACATATTCTTTTTTTGTTCTCATATGGCAACAAACCTCGTAAGTGCTGTACAAGGAAGAACCAAACCATATCAAATTCCTTTCACATCCACATTACTGACTTGCCTTGATACTTACCATTAAAGTAAATGCCAGTTTTAAAAATCTTGTTTTCTCTCTATAACATAATATGAAATTATTTATATTTATTTGATTTGATATAGGATTTGATTTAATTAGTCAAGATCAACAAAATACAAAAATACAAAAATTATGGCTTATGTTATTATGATTTGGGAAAAAAGCAACTAAGCAATGGTATCTGCCCAGTGCCTTACATTATCTATGTAGTAGAATAATGCCAAAAATTAAAAAAAAAAAAAGGCAGTCTTTTTCCCTACAAACTATTTCAGACAACATAATATATTTACAAAACTTTTCTTATGTTTTCCTCTTACACTCCTCTCCACTCAGCAAATTTTTACATTGTCAATTACAAATCCATATTTAGGCTTTTATATTATGAAGTAGAGACAGACAGACTGACAGGGAAACCAGATACATAAATTAGTGCTTTCTAAACTTTAATAGTTACTGCAAACTCTTATAAGAGTCTCTTTCTTTCAGTAGAAATGTAAAGTATCATATCAAACAGTACGTCCATACACTGTGGTATGGGATTTTTTATTTTTTTTTTTATCTTATTGGGTCTTTTGCTTATATATAATGGTTTTCAATCTTGTAATTTTATGGGGTGTGTGTGTGTGTGTGTTTTTTTTTTTTTTGTGTGTGTGTGTGTGTGTATGTGTTTATACGGGCGCACATGCACGCATGTGTGTGCATGTGCACACAAGTATGTGTTTTGCATGCTTTTTCTTTGTTTTTTCCTGTTTGTTTTGTTTTATTCTGGTTTGTCTGTTTTACTTGCCAGTTGGTTTCTAAAAAAGAAGTAAGGAAGAAATAAAGTTGAGTGGGTAGGGAAATAAGAAGGATCTGGAAGGAGATTGGGGAGGGAGTCATAATCAGAATTTATTATATGAAAAAAAATTTCAATTAAAAAAGGTGCCTATGCTGTAGTAAATAACAGCCCCAACCCCTCACAGAAGCACTCTTAAGGTCAGTGTTTTTATAAAAATGTTCCAAAGTAGGACAGGGATGGTTAGGGAGAAGGGTTTCAGTGGAGGAGGAGGAAGAGGAGTGTGTGGAAGCTCCAGATTTGTATGAAATCAGAGAACAAAAATAAATGAGAAACAACACAAAGTCCCAAGCTAAACACACAGGAAATGTGTATATATACATATATGTGTGTACACATAAATGTATATATGTGGATGCCTTGAACACATGTTTTACTCATTTCAAAATGACAAGAAAATCTGTCATTGGAATTCATGTTATTTGTAATATTCGTAGAGTTTCACCAGTAGTTAGAAGTTTCTGTTTAGTTTTGATAAATTTTAAAGCAATTCCCTAGAGTGGCATAGTGGTCATGCCCAGGAGAGCACATTTTGTAAAACTGGCCTTTCATAGGGCTTACTGAAGGAATAAGGTAGAAATTAATTCTAAGTGTACTAAAGAGAGAATAGTACAGAATTTCACTGTTTCAAATCCAAAACAAAAGCAAAAACTGGAAGGCTTATAAGGCAGGTCTAAAACCAAATGAAACAGGAACAAGAACGAAACAGTTTGGAGTAAAAAACACAGACTAAGAACAAGACAGACAGCATGAAAGGGAGAGGGTTTCAAAGTGAGCTTGGATGCTCTTACCTGGGCGTGTGTCTCATTTTCTTGCAGTTGTGTTTTCAGGGTCTCATAATCTGTTGTCAGCTTCTCCATTGTTTTCTTAAAGGCATTTCTGTAGGTTGACAACACTGTTCTTTCTTGATGCAATTTCTAGATTGATCCAAATAGTAATACATAGAAGTTAAGAGCAAATGTCTAGAAAGCCAATATAGAAATCTTAATGGTTTTATTCTGCAAAATTCTACCAGTTATAATTACTTTAAGACTTATTTACAAAGATAGCTTTTGAATAATAAGCCATGGGAGTAGTAACTGCATTAATAACGCAATAGATTCTTCCATATATATCCTGACCCCCAAGAATTAACTTTAAAATAAGGCAAATGGCAATGGAGAGATGCTGAAATGGAGCCCTATAATCTAAATCTTCACTCGGCAAGGGCCACAGGTTGGAATGCTCTGTGTACTTATTTTTTTAATTTTTACTTTCTTTTAAAACCTCTAAGTCTCTTTAGATTACAACTATACATGTAACAAATTTTATTACTTCTTCTTAGGTTGTCTTTTAAATAACAAACTGAAAGTATTAAGTCCTATAAAGTACATACGAAATAAAGCCAATCAAGGAAAAACTGGGGGGTAGGGGGGCTGGGAATGAAACTCACTGGTGGAGTGCTTGCCTAGCACATGAGACCCTGGTTTTTACCCCAAGTAAACCATGCACAGTAGCAAAACCTTATAATCCGTCCAAGGATCAGAGATGAGACAGAAAGAAGTTCAAGGCCACCCTTGCTACAGAGCAAGTTTGAGACCAACCTGCGATATGAAAGAAGGGGGAAGAAAGAAAGTCAGACAGGAAGAGAGAGAGAGAGAGAAGGAGGGAGAGAGAGAGAGAGAGAGAGAGGGAAGAAGGGAGAGAGAGAGAGAGAGGGAGGAAGGGAGAGAGAGAGAGAGAGAGAGAGAGAGAGAAAGGGAGAGAAAGGGAGAGAGGGGCATAAGGAAGGAAGGAAAAACCAAGTGATGATTTTCAAAGATTGTGTTGAGCATTTATTTACCTTCTTCTTTTCTTCAGCAGATGACTTTAAAGATGCCAGGTCACTGTATGTCTCCAGGTCAGCAGTCATTTGTTTAATTTTGTTTTTCAGAGACTGCTGTTCCTCTGTCATCTTACTTTCCAGAAGTTCCATTTTCTGCAGATCCAGCTGCAAACGCTGACTGTCTGAGGCATAAGAATTTAAGGTAATAATTAGTAAATTCGACTCCTAGTCTAGTGCCTTATGTTTTTAGAGCCTCTGCTCACAACATTTCAGTCACCTGACCAACATACAATTTTACTACATATGTTTCTTTTTAAGGACATTTTATTTAATACATATTCATGAGTATTAATAATTAACTTAAAGCAAACAGCACTACACCTTATTTGTGAATGGAGCATGTTTAATGTACATTTTCTTCTGAAGGTATGTAATAAACTTGCCCTTAGGAACACACTAGACAGCACATTAGCTTAAAAAGCATGATTAGGGAGAGGGGAGAGGGATGGAAGGAAAAGGACAGGGAGAGGGCATGGTACTAAATACCCAGAAAAATACTTAACTTTTGCAATACAACTGAACAAATGGGAAGGTCAGTGCTCCAGAGAAAAAAATTGTGTAACTTAGAGGCAAGAACACACGGCAACCCAGAACAAGAATAGAAATTCAGTATAATAGATATGAAATTCCACTAACATTCATTTGAAATGAGAATGAGTAAGAAAAACAGTGCTTTAAAAAAGTCACTGATTTTTAAAGGAATTTGTAGATTATGGGGATGGCTCAGTGGATAAAGTGCTTACAGTATAAGAAGGAGGACCAGAGTGTGGATCCCCCCCCCCCCGCCCGGGCCCACAAAAATGGTGGGAAGGCATGGCAGCTGCCTCCAATCCTAGCACTCAGGGGGCAGAGACAGGGAATCCAGAATTGGCCATCTAGATGAACCACAATTGGCAAATCCGGGGTTCACTGAGAGACCTTGTTTCAATCAAGTAGAAAGTAATTGAGGAAGGTATCTGCCGTCAGCTTTGGGCTTCCATATGCACACATGTGTACCCACACACATACAAACACACAACAGTAATTTTTAAAAAGGATTGTTATACAACCAAATATTTTAAAGTTGGTGTAATTAAGCTACTATTCCTTGAATGTTTCATTTATCCCTTTCAGAGTTTTTACTTAACAATATTGAAATACATATATGTACAAGATTTAAATGTTACCATAGTTTCAATTTCAAGCTAGGCACATACTTGTTATCCTGGCATCCGAAGGCTGAGGCAGGAGGGCTCTGAGTTCAAGGCTTGCCTGGGCAACATAAGATGATCTCAGAAATCCAAAGCCATAAAAGTCATAACTTGGATTCATACCCCCACTAAGGTTACAAGCAGTAATAATGAGGATAAAGTGCTGAACAAGTTACCAAGGCTTATAAGGGATCTTAATAATATAGATAGGAAATGTGCTTAGCTATCACGCAATTGCATAAATTTAAGTGCAAATGCGACTTGGATATATATACTCAGGAAATACATTTAAGAACTATACAAACTGAGAAAGGGAGCACATGTGTGGTTGGTATAGAGTAAAGTTTATCTCCCTTTTGCATCAGGTCCTATGAAAAGCTGAAAGCGTCTCCAAGAGAAGAGACAGGAAGAGGAAGCAGTCTAGTTCCTTCTGATATGCTATGAAGTTACAGTTTACCAAGCAGTGTGTACAGAGTAGCAAAATCTCAGGAGGAGCCACTCTGACCTGGGGAAATGTTTCTGAAATACTCTGCCATCAGCACATTTGTTTACTCCCCAGAGTTTCCTTTCTAAAAATATAAATAAAAACTACTGCTAGCAAGATTCCTTGCCTGTATCCTGCAGTATAAGTGTTTCTCAATCTATTTGTATTATTAATCCCCATAGGAAATTTTTGTGGGCTTGTTTTTCCTTTTCTCAATCACAATCATCTGACTGGCCTGATACGGTTTCTTTCACCCTTTCTCTTAGAAGTAATGTTGCCCCTTGAGAGCACTCCATTAAGAGACACAGAGTGGAAAAAAAAGTCACATGGGTTCCAGTGATAATCTCAAAGATAGAAAGGGATGCAATTCACAGAAGGGCACTACTGACGTACATTATCTCAGATTATCACAAACTTCTGGTGATTTTTCAGATAAAAGAAATATCTGAAGTGTGGGGAGTGATATAAAGAAAAGAAGGGATAAAGGAAGGTAGGTTTAAAAAACAAACAAAAGAAATGGTAGATGAAATAAATTAAAAGGCAGAATTCAAATCTTACTAAAGAAAATATCCAGAAAAAGAGAAACTTTACCATAGTGACAGAGTGTATTGTTCAGTGTTCATTCTTATTCAACTGTACCACTGAAGAAAGCACAGAGACTAGTTTTCAAAAGGAAATGTAAACACAAAGCATAAAGCTGTGTAAAAAAATACAGTTCTAATCACTAACTTTGCTTCCTGGTATTTATATTTGCCCTTAAGAAATGTTTTTCAATGGCTGTTGCACTGAGATAACTTAAAGAAGGAAAAAGCTTGTTGAATTAACATCAAACTTAGATAGCTGACTATATAGATGAATTAATTAATGTAATTTCTCAGTTTATGAAAAAGAATAAAGGTTTAAAATACTCAAATTAACCCAAAAACATAAAAGCAACCTGAAAATTGATGAGTGGATAGCAACCTAAATATTGTTGAGTGGATAAAGTATAGAATATATGTGCAATGAAATATTACTCAGCAGCCATACAAAAAGGAAATTCTGCCCTATGCTACAAAATGGAGGTACCTTGAGTCTACTATGTTAGCAAAACAAGCCAGTCAACACCACCACACATTATGAATGTACTCATATGAGGCATTCTTAGGAGGCAAAGTCACAGAAACAGAAGTAGAATTGTGAGTGCCCAAGTTCTGGAACTCTGCTGTACAACTGTATAGTCATGTGCATACAGTAAACACTACCAGACTACACATGTGAAACTGGTTAAGATGGATGGATCATCAAGAAAATAAACAACACACAGTGCTGGAGGGAATGTAAACTGACAGAAATCAGTGTGGAGGTTCCTCAAAACACTTAAAATTACACTGAAGGACTGAGTCAACAGTTACAGAAGTACTTGCACATCCCTGTTTATTGCTGTACCATCTGTAACAACTAAGAAATAGACCAGCCTGGTACCATCAACAGATGAAGAAATAAAGAAAACATGGTACATTTATACAATGGAATTTTAGTTAGCCATCAAGAATAAGATCATACATCTGCAGGACATTTGGTGCTACTAGAGATTATGTTACACAAATTAAGCCAGATTAAAAGAGACAAATAGCATGTTTGCTCTCAGGTATGCTAAACTTACATCTGTGTGTATGCATATATAGGTTTTAAAAGTATAAAGGGATGGATGGGCTGGGCAGGTGGCGCACGCCTTTAGTCCCAACACTTGAAAGGCAGAGGCAGGCAGATCTCTGTGAGTTTGAGGCCAGCCTGTTCTATGGAGCGAGTTCCAGGACAGAGAAACCCTGTCTTGAAAACATATATATATAAAGGGAAGCATGTGAAGGGAGGAGGACGTGAGGGAGATGGGGAAATGAATGTTAGAACCATAACATAACATATATACTAACTACTTAACTCCCACAGCAAGATTTGAGACAGTGCTGAGCTATTATTAAGTACATGAATATTTCCATAATAAAAATCATGAATAGTCAGTTCAGATCAGAATAAGTCGTACTGCCAACAACATTTAGGTTTAGGGAATCCCCAAAAAGTATAGTTATTCTATTTCTATTTCTAGTATACTTAAATTGTGTGTGTGTGTGTGTGCGTGAGTGTGTGTGTGTGTGTGTGTGTGTGTGTGTGTGTGTGTGTGCGCATGGCATGCACTGAGAAAGCATGTGTTTGCCCATAAATGGGGAAGCTAGCTGTTGACCGCAGTTATCCTCCTCAGCCACTCTCCACCTTATTTTTGAGACAGGGTTTCTCACTGAACTTGGAGCTCAACAATTTGGAAAGGCTAGCTAGATTGTCAGTAACTCCAGAGAACTGCTTGTCTCTACCACTGGGATTTCATACATGTTACCATGCCCAGCTTCAAGGTAGGGAGTAGGGATCCAAATGCAGGTCCCCCTTGCTTGTAAGCACTTTACTGACTTAGCCATCTCCCCAGCTTGGACCCTTAAATACACAAATAAGCAAACATTAAGTCTTCATTTTCTCTAAACTCATTACCTACCAGCATAAACCCAAGAAGACCAAAACAGCTAATTCAGTCACCACACACCATAATAAACACTCAGAATCTGCCAGTACAGAAACCCAAGATTCCATATGAATTTGTTTATAAGTTTACTCCTTGTATCTGATCACAACCTATGTCACAACTTGACACATAAAGCTTTTTGATCCCTTGAAATAGGTTTAATCTAAATTAAAATACTATACAACCAAAACATTATAGAGTATAGATTGAAATATCAATTTCTAGGGTATATTGATTAATAAAATTAAAATTCATCTGTCACTCTTAAGTTTTTAAAATATGACAAACAATTATAATTAAGCATGTGGTTTGCATGCCATTTTCCTTGGTCAGTGCTGTGCTACTGAACACAGCTAAGATTATTTCAGCATCACTGGCTCTCGAACCCTCCTCAATTATGATGCATTTCCATACTATTTCTATGAAATCTTATTTCATTGCCTTGTAACTGTCCTTCTACCAGGACGAGTCCCTTCAGGAAACAGATCTGACTTTGTTTTTAACCCTTTGAATCATGAGATTCTCCCTGGCCAAACTCTAGTCAGGACCTGAGAATTCTTTTCATCTAAGCTGCACTATAAGAACTGACTGCTTAAAGGAAGCTGTGACTGAGACTAGTACCAAACACTGTGAAAGAACATCATATTTCATATACTATATGTCTTGCCCTGCAGAAAAACCAAAGTTCAAAATGTGAAATAGAATTCTCAGTTCTGCATGTTGCTTTTATACCACTGTAAAATCACAAAACCTACAGACCAGGCCCTGGCACTGTAGGTCAGCAGTCGGGCAGATCTCTAGTACCACACACATACATACACAAAATGGTACATCAAAACCTTCATAAGCTGTCGACTCAGTAAATACTGTTAAACGAATGACATCTCAATGTCCAACTAGTAGGTCCCTGGGTAATTCATTTAGAATTCTCAGATTATAATTAGATCTTTCCTTATGGGACTTTCAAAGAACTCAAAAAGAATGAAACTGAGTTTTGAAGTTCCAATTTGCTATAGAAAAAGTAGAGTATGAACTCATAGCTACTGTTCTTACCTGAGGTCAAATTCCTGGCTGTTGTCTGTGACTTCTGCATTTCAGTTGATTTAAAGCTAAGGTCATCCTGCATCATCTTTAGCTCTTGGTTGGTGATGGAGGATATCTGTTTCATACGATTTATATTCTGTATTTGCAGAGAAACACACAGAAGATTTAGCTTTCTTTAAAACTACCAAAACCATAATGGATGAGATGCTTTGACTATTATTTTTAAATATACACTCGATTTTGATGTTTTATAGAATGCAGTAGGATTCAGTCATGTTTTCACATAAGTTCACAATTTTTTCACTTGCTTTATTAAACTGAATGAAAAATTAGCTACACAGTTTGAAAAACTAAATGCAAATTTAATACACTAAGCATACTGAAAGAAGAAAGGTCAGCCATTTTTCTCCTATAGCATGACACATAAAAGATCCTCAATAAACAATTTCTGAACTTTGGTACTCATTGGGTGTATCTATAAGAAAATATTTACAATACAAATTACAGTGTAAAAACATTAACATTTTTTAAAATTAAGTCTAGGTTTTGGAATTTTCTTAGTAAATTCAGAAAAATTAGCAATGGAAGGAAATCTTAAGATTTATTATATAGCTTCATGTACTGCTTAACACTGATCATGTACATGTACATGTCATTCCTTCCCACATTACCCTAACTAGCTAAGGTTTTACTACAGAGGTAAACATTAGTAGCTTGAAGAAAGAAAAAGGCAACTGAAACAAAACAGTTTAAGTGGCTAACAATAATGGTGAGTCTTCCACTTTCTGTGTTGTTATTGAAAAGTTAGGAGCCTGACAGGCACACAGCACTTACCCGACTGCAATGCTCTAACAGGGCGACAATGCTGGCTTCTATCTGTGCCTTCCGTTCCAGTTCCTGATTCTTTGTTTCCTCAAAAGTCTCTATAAAAGCTGCCGATTGGAAACATGGTAATACAGACTACTGCTGCCAGAGTTAGCACTAAATAAACTCAGAGTTTCAGAATTTCACATGATTTCCCAGAAATGCCAAGTAAATTGAAATTTTAAACTGTTAACCTTCTCTATATACTTTCAAATATTGTCATACTGTCTCTGATATAAGCAAACCAGAAAGTTATATAGGCTCAAAAGAAATAGCTGATACTTCAAAAATCAGAAAAAACTCATCTTTATAAATGCTGTCCTTGATACAGCTATAATAATTAACATTTATAGTTGGCCACTGGCTTTATTTCTGAAATTAATATTACTAAATGCCTATTTTGTCTGAAAGTAACTTTTCATTAAATTAATCAAATACTGGCTTATCATACTGGCTTATAACAAAACAAATTTTATCATTTATTCAGATGATTAAATATTCTAAGAAATTACCCATTTATCAAACCTAGAACTCATACACACCTTTGCTCTAATTTATGTTTCTTCAGTTATTCCTATGGAACTTCCAAAATTAAAAATAAGCAGTTAAAATTTACTATTTGTAAGACAATAACATAAATATTGAATGCATTCTCTAATGTATTTCCATTATAATTTTTCTACTAATTCTTTTTGGTAGCTCAATGGTAGGGAATGTATTTTTTATTTTTAAGAACAATATTTTGTTCTTAAATTATGTATAGCAATTATGTATAGCAATCCAATTTGCATATTAAATGACACTATAATAGATAATAATTTGACAAAGTTTAAAATGGAAGAAAAAAGAGAAAAATTCCAGGTTATAGAACCCATCCACTTGGAACCAAATTTTTTAAAAATTCCACTTTTTCTAAGAGGGGCAATGTGGCAATGTCTTCAGTGCCTAATATAAATGAATAGCATCTAAGAATTAAATAGTTTCATCACTTACCATCCATATTTTCCTCCCGTTTTTTAAGCTCCTTATATTTTTGGTTCATTTCACCTATAAAAAATGTAAGACATTAATTTTAAAAATTCCAATCAATGTATTTGAAATATTTCTTGGGTTCTCTTTATGCCATTAGTCACTGAATAACAGTTTGATAGTTAGGGTCTAATTGAATTTTAATTTGGAGAAATTTGCTTATATTTTGTTACATCTTTTAAAGCAGCTACCTTTACAATTAGGAAAAACAATCTCCTGACTGGAACAGACTTACAGGCTTTCCATTCCAAATTTGCAGCTGTCCTGCACTAGTGTGACAGGAAAGAGAAGTTTCCACACAAGTCTATGTCATTTTTGAAGTTTGCAGCAAGTATGAGAGCAACATTTCTTACCTCACAGCCCTTAGTATCTAGAAATTTAACATGTTAAATGCTGTCATATGAAAAAAAAAGATACTATAGAAATGTGCAACTAAGTTAATTCACACACTGTGAGAAATTCCCTAAATATATTCATGCTACATTATAAAGAATGAACAGGAGTAACTTGGTCAGATATGAAAAAAATCAATTTTGACCAAGTCGTGCATTGGTGGCACATGCCTTTAATCCCAGCACTCGGGAAGCAGAGGCAGGTGGATCTGTGAGTTTGAGGCCAGCCTGGTCTACGGAGCAAGTTCCAGGACAGGCTCCAAAGCCACAGAGAAACCCTGTCTCAAAAAACAAAACAAAACAACAAAAAATTGAGCAATACATAAATTTGGAAGTGATGATGACTATAGTAGTATAATCAGAGGATCAGTGGCCGGACTTAGCTTCTTGGGATATAAACGGTGACCTCAAGTTTGGTAACAAAAGCACAAGGAATTAAAGAGTGACATGGCTAAAGTAGAGACTACGAAACAGAAAAGTAACATAAAAATGAGAGGCTGACTGGGAATACCTCCAAAAGCTATGTCTCAGAATTCGGGCTTAACTAAGAACAATTCTTGAAAAGACAATTGTGTGTGTGTGTGTGTGTGTGTGTGTGTGTGTGTGTGTGTGTGTGTGCTCCTCATGTGTGTGTACATGAGTGCAGATGCCCACTAAAGCAAAAGGCCTGGAGTTGAATTTACAGATGACTGTTAGCCAGCCAACCTGGGTACTGGGACTGGAACTCAGGCCTTCGGCAAAGCAGTACATACTCTTAAGCACTAAGCCATCTCTCCAACTACTTGCTAAAGAATTTCAAACAGGAGAATCAAATTAAAACTCCTGAGAAATATTTTAGCCTAGAGAACAAAAGAATGGGAGTTTTAAAGTCAATTACATGTCTCAGAAATCTGGGTAGAAAATCAAAGCTGCTTGAAGTATGGTGGTAATTGGGACAGAAGTTAGTAGGTTTTGATCTCAGGTATCAGGAGGCACAGGGAATGGATTATGATAAGAAAGAAACTGGAACCAAGGATGATTCTCAAGATTCTACTTAGGCAACTTGGAAAGACAGCTGTATTGACTGCAAAGGGAACAGGTTGATGAAGAAGTTGCATACAGGAGTGTTGACCATATTTCGAGTCATATCTAAAGGAACAAAAATAGAAAGAACCTCTCTGACAAATCAGACAGAAGAATCATTAGTAGGGGTGGATTATTTTGATAATGGGGTTTCACTATAACAAACACTGAACTATGAAAGTACAAATCTATTCTCAGAGTAAGAATGTTGCCACTCAACGTACCTAGGGCATCAAATAGAAAAAGGATAAATTTGAGCTTCCTTCAAACCAGTTTCTTCACGTCAATAGGTCCCTAGCTTCCTAGAAAACACTAAGAAGCAACATCAAAAAGGACCGAAACAGCAAGCTATTCCTAAGCAGATTCCTAGTTAAAAGCTGGCATTAAAATAGACCTTTAGGAAGCTGGGCCCAGCACTAGGGGGGCATAGGCAGGTGGATCTCTGTTGAGTTCGAGGCTGGTCTATAGAGCTAGTTCCAGAATGGTCTCCAAAGCAATACAGAGAAACCCTGTCTCAAAAAAAAAAAAAAAAAAAAAAAAAAAAAAAGGAACAAGAGCAAAGGAGGATACCAGGACTAAAATTCCACTAATATATGTTCTATATCTTCTCACAGATCTGATTAAAGCATTTTTTTTTTCATTTAAAAAATTCATTGTCTTCTCATGGACTCCTTGTCCTTTATTTAAATGTGAGTCTTCTCAACCATTTTTTTACTTGTATATTTTGTATATGTGCACTCATATGTGCCACAACAAACATGTGAAGGTCAGAAAATGACTTGTGAGAACTGGCATTCTCCTGTGGGATCTGAGGATCAATCTTGGGTTGTCATGTGTGGGGGCAAGTACCTTTATCCTGAGCCTACTCTGTAGCCTTTAACTGACTTCTAAAACTGTACTATCAATGACAATTTCGTTGTCCTGTAATTTTAAGAATGTTTAACTGTTTCCTAATTTTCAAATTCTTTCATCTAATTCCTTACTATATTAGTATTTAGATGTCCTTCTGGGAATCTAAAACACAGTATATACATTAAACTTATCAGCATTCTCCCTCAAAATCGCCAACTCTTTATTTTCTATTATTTTGATTGTCCTCACCATCTACCATCATTTAGGTCAGGAACCTAGGAGTCCTCTCTCCCACTCCAACAAACCCACTCGTGTTGCCAATATATTGGGAACATATGGGAAGGCATATCTGGCAAACAGCTTGGCCAGTGGGATTAGATAAAAAAGACCTCCTGCATATCTCGGGAGATTCCCTAGCTTCAAAATAAAACTTCCTGATTACTTTTGAGATGGAGACAAGTCACAGCATTGGTGAACTTGTCTGTGTTGTTTTCTGATATCGAAAATTAGTACCTGGATCTGGATTGATGGCTCAGTGGTTAAGATGCTGCTCTTCAGGAAGAACAGATTTCAGTTCCTAGTATTTATTATCAGCTAACAACTACCTCTTAACTCCAATGCCACAAGTTTCAACAATCTCTTCTGGACTTCATAGGCACTTGCACAAATGTACACACACACACACACACACACACACACACACACACACACACACACACACACACCTTCATATTAATGGGGCTGGAGAGATGGCTCCGTGATTAAAGAGCCCTAGCTGTTTTTCCAGATGTTTGATTTCCAGCACCCATAAGGCAGGTCACAACTGTCTTGTGACTACAGTTCCAGGGGATCCAATGTCCTCTTCTGGCCTCCACAGGCACTGAATCTGCATGTATACAGATACACATGCAGGTAGAACACAGCCCATTGTCATGTAGTGGCACTACCATCTGGGGAGATTTTGGAGTTGGGACCTACAGCCTGGGCTTAGCTAAGCGGACATTGCCCAGGGAACCTGTGTTTCTGTCTGCCAGGAAGAATCATTTCCCTCATTTCCCCTTACCTCTGGTGAATAGGAAATCTGGTTCCCTATTGGCAAATACCTGCAGTATGTATCAAAGCCCATGCTATCCTCCAGGCTCCTCTGGCCCCTATTAACATGTACCTGTGGTTGCATATCAAAGCAACCTAGATTCTTCTGGTCCCCTAGCTCCCGAGCTGTTCTGGATTGCATACCTACCTCCCTGCATCTACTATCCTTCTATAACATGCAAGGTTTCCCCCACCCTCTCATTTCTCTCTGCTCCCAAGAGGTAGCCATGGCAGCTTTGGATTCCCCCAAACACCTCTAGCTATTCTCTACTCCTTGAGAGACAGCCATGAAGTAGTTCCACATTCACAATAAACCTTTCTTCTTTTACCCATAGAACAGTCTAGTTCAGTGGTTTCATAGCTCTCTCACTTACAATATCAGCACCCAGATCAGTTTCTTTCTGTACCTGGATTCTCTGAGGTAAACTATCTCCTGGTCATATCATTTCTACTGTGGAATAGCTCCTCTATTACCATTCTCATCTCTACAATAAATGAATTCTTGTTCATTTTCTTTCAAGAAGACTCCTACTTCCTACAGCCTATATAACCAATTTTTGTTAATGTAAACTATTGTTTTAGCTGTTTATGGGGTGAGATCACATTAATTTACTCTGAACTATTATTTCAGACCCCCTCTAACATTTTCATACAATTATAAATTCTGGCTGAGTTATTTCTTTTCAGCTAGGGAAACAACAATACTCTTAAGCTACAAGGTACATTTTAAAATATACCATAAGAATTGGCAGCTTCTAATAGGTTAAGGCAGGAAGGATTTGCATATACTAATTACTTATCTCAGTACTACCACAGAGATAGCATATATATAGCTTACATTAGTGAGGGGCAATGTCTATATACTGCTTAAGGGTATGCAGGAAAGTGTGTGAATGTGACTTTGTCAACTGTGTATGTTAACCTTAATCTGCATAAACAGATTCTCAGAAAATTAGCCCCACCTGATGGATCTTGGTAAAACTGCACATTCGGGCTCTTGGCAATAATCAACAGAGTTTGGAATTGTCATGGAGTGGGTATATTACTTTAACTAACAAAACTAGGATATTTATATAGCTTGCACTGGTGAGAAACAATGCCCACATACTACTTTTAGGTGTAGTAAATGGCTCAGTGTTTTGAGAAATTAACAAAATTAAAAGTAACAACTCTGATTTATTCTGCTTAAAATGTCACTTGTAAAAATTACTCTGTACAATATATATGTTAATAAACATGAATATGCAAGAATATCTATGGAACCACTGTTTTGAGTTAGAGTCTGACTATATAGCCCTTGTTGTCTGTCTACAGACTCACTATGTAGACCAGTCTGGCTTTGAACTTGAACTCACCTGCCTCTGCTTCCCAAGTGCTGAAATTAAAGGCATAGGCCATCAAGCATTTTTGATAGTGAAAATTTAGAAATGACATTAATGTCAATGTTGAGACAGTGAATACTATAACTACAACTGTGATGGCAACTAATGGTTGTCACAGTGCTTAATATACACCAGGCATTATTCTTGAGCCTTTAGCTCCTCATGGTAAATGAAATACACACTTCATGTGGAATGATGTATGTTATATATTGTTTGTGGTTAGAGTATGAAATATTAT